GCTTTAAGTCCCATCCCCCCTCCGTCCCTACTGAACCAGCCCCAGGCAACCATTGTTTGAGACCATCAAACTCGGGTCGCCTGGCCGGGAATCGAACCCGGGACCTCCCGATTATAGAGCAAGCGCTACAACCACTACACCATAGGAGGCCGACATTTGTTAACACAACAAATTGCCTACATTTGTCCCAAATTTGCGTGTCCCCGTGCCTGGTTCTTGACTTTAAATCGATGTTGCAGCATAACTAGAGTGATTATTTAAGAAAACTTTATCGGAGATGATAGGTAATGCTTTTGAATTTGAGAAAAAAAAATATGTCAATTTATTTTTTGCTCCATCAATAAATTTTTCACGCGCTAGAATCATTGTCCCGAGCAACAGTCAGCAACAGTCAGCAACAGTCAGCAACAGTCAGGAGAGACATGGCAACGATGTAATAAGCTCTAAATGATTGCCGTAACGTTGAGGTTTTTCCAAAAACGACTTTTTTTGTTTTGATAGAATAGTTCACACGTCGTAGATGGCAAAAATTCTGAGATTCGCAAATTTTTGTGCAAGATTAACGCCATTAATGATGCCAAACAGAATGCTATACACGATAACTAGCAGGGCGTCAAGCATACACACACACACTAATATCAGCTCGTAAAATACTTTCAAAGTGTGCGTAAGGGAAAATTTTCTCTTATTCCGAATCTCTAGAACGTGCTACTAAATATTCCGAGAAAAAAAAACACCAAAATTGTCTTTATTGTTAGAGATAAGCTTAAAAAACAGCTTATTCCATCCTGTCCCGTTCCATCTTGTCCCGTTCCATCCTGTCCCATATGTTTCCATCCTGTCCCATGTCCCAGTTCAGTGGGACAGAGTGGAAAACTGTTACAACTGAGACTTGCTTATTTAAGCCCTGTAGGCGCTCTTTCCTACCGATTTAAGTGAAACTCAGTAACCGGAGGTTTTTTTCAATAGGGAACTCGAATTTTTAGTCGAATTTTGAAAATTCGAAAATCAAAGATGGCGGACATTGCCTAAAATGCTATCGCAGCGCCTAATCAACTGAGGCTTCTTTGTTTAAGCCCTGTAGGCGCTCTTTCCGACCGATTTAAGTGAAATTTGGTACACGGGGGTATTTTTCGATAGGAAACTTGAATTTTTAGTCGAATATTCGAAATTCGAAAATCCAACATGGCGGACATGACCTAAAATGCTATCTCAGCGTCTAATCAATCGATTTACGCGAAACTTGGTACCCGGGGGTATTTTTGAATAGGAAACTCGAATTCTTAGTCGAATTTTCAAAATTCGAAAATCCAAGATGGCGGACGTTGCCTAAAATGCTATCTCAGTAACTAATTAATTGATTTTAATGAAACTGGACCGGAAAACCTTGGCATTAGGAAAAGAAAGGAGATTTAATAGGGGTGCAATACATGGTTTCTTATGTATCTTAGGCTACGTAATCGAAAAATTCCTAGGTTTTTTCCATCGTGCACAGATTCTCCCGGAAGATTGACTCTGCTGGAAAAGCTAGATTTTTAAGGAAAATTCCGATTTCTCCGGAAAAATTCCGAACTTTCCCGGGATAAGTCGCACTGATACAGGTAAATGGAGGTGATCTTCGGAATCAGCGCCAAAAATCTACTCCGAAACCGTTGGCAAATCTTCGGAAAATCAAAAAAAAAAAACGTTGACCAGTGTAATTGATATGTTAATGTAATTCCTCAAACTTTTCCTGGCTTTACCTCCACTTCAGCGGGTACACGCCCACTTGAAGTTTTAAAATTCGATGTTTTTGATCAATTTTGTATTGCAATATTCCAAGAAATAAAAGCTTCTTCTCGTGTTAAAGGAAAACAGTAGGATAAACAGACGGAACTGTCTAAAAGATAAGCAGAATAAGCTCCAGATATCTTTCATGACGGATGAATTTTTTTGGTTCTGTAAGATATGAAAGGGTTACATGTTTTCAATTATACTTTAATTTAGTGCTCGACGATGCTTTTATGACAATTGCGTTCAATTTTCAATTAAAAGTATTATATGTCACCTCTGAGATGAAAATTTGGGAAGTCAGGCAAAATTAGAGCAAAGAGGTTGTTCCAAAAACGCCGATTTTGGCCCCCCCTGGAT